ACACACACACACACACACACACACACACACACAGGACATGCATTGTGGGACCCACACACACACAAAAAAACACACACACTGGAGGTCCTGGAACAGTAATATCACGTCAAAATCCAAGATTTCACAAACAATGTCCCACACCAGATTGTTACTATACTTCTGGGAACTTAACAGGTATTGCTATACTTGTGATGCCGAAACTTACACACTGTCAGGTTTTTAGCTACTTTTAGTCCCACACATACACACTGTCAGGTTTTTAGCTACTTTTAGTCCCACACATACACACTGTCAGGTTTTTAGCTACTTTTAGTCCCACACATACACACTGTCAGGTTTTTAGCTACTTTTAGTCCCACACATACACACTGTCAGGTTTTAAGCTACTTTTAGTCCCACGCATACACACTGTCAGGTTTTTAGCTACTTTTAGTCCCACACTTACACACTATCAGGTTTTTAGCTACTTTCAGTCCCACACATACACAATGTAAGGTTTTTAGCTACTTTTAGTCCCACACTTACACACTATCAGGTTTTTAGCTACTTTCAGTCCCACACATACACACAGTCAGGTTTTTAGCTACTTTTAGTCCCACACATACACACTGTCAGGTTTTTAGCTACTTTCAGTCCCACACATACACACTGTCAGGTTTTTAGCTACTTTTTGTCCCACACATACACACTGTCAGGTTTTTAGCTACTTTTAGTCCCACACATACACACTGTCAGGTTTTTAGCTACTTTTAGTCCCACACATACACACTGTCAGGTTTTTAACTACTTTTAGTCCCACACATACACACTGTCAGGTTTTTAGCTACTTTTAGTCCCACGCATACACACTGTCAGGTTTTTAGCTACTTTTAGTCCCACGCATACACACTGTCAGGTTTTTAGCTACTTTCAGTCCCACACATACACACTGTCAGGTTTTTAGCTACTTTTAGTCCCACGCATACACACTGTCAGGTTTTTAGCTACTTTCAGTCCCACACATACACACTGTCAGGTTTTTAGCTACTTTCAGTCCCACACATACACACAGTCAGGTTTTTAGCTACTTTTAGTCCCACACATACACACTGTCAGGTTTTTTAGCTACTTTTAGTCCCACACATACACACTGTCAGGTTTTTAGCTACTTTTAGTCCCACGCATACACACTGTCAGGTTTTTAGCTACTTTTAGTCCCACGCATACACACAGTCAGGTTTTTAGCTACTTTTAGTCCCACACATACACACTGTCAGGTGTTTAGCTACTTTTAGTCCCACACATACACACTGTCAGGTTTTTAGCTACTTTCAGTCCCACACATACACACTGTCAGGTTTTTAGCTACTTTTAGTCCCACACATACACACTGTCAGGTTTTAAGCTACTTTTAGTCCCACACATACACACTGTCAGGTTTTTAGCTACTTTTAGTCCCACACATACACACTGTCAGGTTTTTAGCTACTTTTAGTCCCACACATACCAGGACATCTGAGATGACTTCTGTTGTGATTCAGGGCTATACAAGAATAAATTGTATTGTATTGTATTGTATTGTATTGTATTGTACGACTATTTGGACTTTTGTGATTTTAGATGTTACAAAATAAATTGAAATTAATTATTTAAATCCTATTCATGGGGTGAGTATACTCAAATCTGTAAAGTAATAGAAAATCAGACCATATATTTAACAAAACTCATACACTTTATTTGTATATAGGCTTTTTAGATCCACTCCAACACACAGTCTAGTTTTAAAGGCCTTTTAGATCCACTCCAACACACAGTCTAGTTTTAAAGGCCTTTTAGATCCACTCCAACACACAGTCTAGTTTTAAAGGCCTTTTAGATCCACTCCAACACACAGTCTAGTTTTAAAGGCCTTTTAGATCCACTCCAACACACAGTCTAGTTTTAAAGGCCTTTTAGATCCACTCCAACACAGTCTAGTTTTAAAGGCCTTTTAGATCCACTCCAACACACAGTCTAGTTTTAAAGGCCTTTTAGATCCACTCAAACACAGTCTAGTTTTAAAGGCCTTTTAGATCCACTCCAACACACAGTCTAGTTTTAAAGGCTTTTTAGATCCACTCCAACACACAGTCTAGTTTTAAAGGCCTTTTAGATCCACTCCAACACACAGTCTAGTTTTAAAGGCCTTTTAGATCCACTCCAACACAGTCTAGTTTTAAAGGCCTTTTAGATCCACTCCAACACACAGTCTAGTTTTAAAGGCCTTTTAGATCCACTCCAACACACAGTCTAGTTTTAAAGGCCTTTTAGATCCACTCCAACACACAGTCTAGTTTTAAAGGCCTTTTAGATCCACTCCAACACACAGTCTAGTTTTAAAGGCTTTTTAGATCCACTCCAACACACAGTCTAGTTTTAAAGGCCTTTTAGATCCACTCCAACACACAGTCTAGTTTTAAAGGCTTTTAGATCCACTCCAACACACAGTCTAGTTTTAAAGGCCTTTTAGATCCACTCCAACACACATTCTATTTTTAAAGGCCTTTTAGATCCACTCAAACACAGTCTAGTTTTAAAGGCCTTTTAGATCCACTCATACACACAGTCTAGTTTTAAAGGCCTTTTAGATCCACTCAAACACAGTCTAGTTTTAAAGGCCTTTTAGATCCACTCATACACACTGTCTAGTTTTAAAGGCCTTTTAGATCCACTCAAACGTCTAGTTTTAAAGGCCTTTTAGATCCACTCATACACACGGTACATAAGCTATTTTTAGTTCCATTCAAACATGGAGTCAAGATGCTTTAGATACCTTTAAGTGAAGTTGAGTAAATCTCTTAAGTAACAGGAAAGCAAGTGATTCATTTTACATTTATTGAGTGAAACAATGCCTTACTGCAATTCTGTGTTTAGTCTCCAGAACTATAACAGTGTTTGGGTAACATAACGTTATCAGGAGTGCCAATAATTAAATCAGTCTTTGTGCTTAAAAAATAAAAAATGTTTTAAGAACAAGACTAGACAAGTCTAACAGAGACTAGAAACATTTTCAAACAATCTCTTTGAGTGTTACATTTTCAAGTTAGAAACACTTATCGTAGTTCCTTTTTCCCGGAACACAGCAGCAAGAGGTTATGAAGGACCATCACGTGCTTCTCCATAACATTAATCTCCTCTCCTCCTGCCACCTTCTCATGGTTTACATGTGGACTGAGGAATAGAGTAGACAGAATTAGCCACAAATAACATTACACAGTATTTAAACTGGACTTCGTACTTTTATATATTCCTTTTTTAACTGGTGAATTTGAGCTCATTGTAAAGATTTTTCAGACTCAATTGTGTAATTGTCCTCATCAAGATCAAGATCTACAGCTTCCTCCTCAGTCAGAGTATGTGTCTTGTCTTTCTGGAAGACATACACACTTTAAAGACTATTTTAGATGAAGCCCATTAATAAAATATTTTGTGTGGCTAAGATTAGGCAAGGCTGCAAGTACACCATTGCCACTCCAACCCATAGCTATATTTTTCAGGGAATATGTATCAATAGACAGAACAACAGAGTCTAATCAAGTTCTAGATCAAGTCTAGATCAGAGTCTAGATCAAGTCTTGATCAAGAGTACTAGATCAGTAGTCTAGATCAGAGTCCAGGTCAGAGTCTAAGATCAGAGTCAAAATCAGAGTCTTGATCAGAGTCTAAGATCAGAGTCTAGATCAAGTCTAGATCAGAGTCTAGATCAGAGTCTAGATCCGATCTAGATCCGAGTCTAGGTCCGAGTCTAGTCCCGAGTCTAGGTCCGAGTCTAGATCCGAGTCAAGGTCCGGGGGCTGAGTCCGGGACAGGTCCGGGATTAAGTATTAGACCCAGACTTAGGGTGATAAGTTAGACACATTCTTAAGTGTTCCTCTGAGGACTACCCCTGGTATGGACTGAAGTCATGAAACTGTCAGAGAAAAGCCCTGAGGCCCAGGAGCGTGCATATGACCCGGCCCTCTGGTGACCCGACTGTGATCCGTCTGTGACCCGCTTGGGGATGGACCCCTCTCTCTTGGTGTTTCCAAGTTCTCTTTTCTGCCACTGTTTAGACTTGAATCCCTTTTTTTTTTTATTCTGCGGGGGGGAGGGGCGGGGTGTGGTCCCTCTCAACAAGAGGAGTACCGGATGATGTGTTTTCAATTATCGTGGATCACACTCCTCAGCCTCCCCGGTTAAGGTTACTCAAGTACAGAGATGAGGCAACGCCCGAGGGTCGAATCTCAATTCAGAGGAGCAGTGTGGTTTTCGTCCCGGTCGTAGGAACACTGGACCAGCTCAATAACTCTCCATCGGATACTCGAGGGTTCATGGGAGTTCGCCCAACTGTCCACATGGCTTTGTGGATTTGGAGAATGGTATTCGACAATATTCCCCGGGGTGACCTTGGGGATTTCCTCCAGAGACGGGTGCCAGGGTCCTGTGCTCAGGGCTTTCCGTCACTGTATACTGGAGCCAGAGCTGTGTCCGCAGTAAGTCAGATATGTATTCCCAGTGTTGGGGTCCCCCCAGTGGCTGCCTTATGTCACCAGTTTCAGTCACTTGTTTTCATAGACAGAATTTACTAGGCACATCAGGGTTGGAGAATCCGGTTTGGACCACGGGGCCGGAGGGGGCCGGTTTGGAAACCAGAGTCACGGACCGTTTGGAACATGATCAAGGGCCATAGGGGGTTCCGGTTTGGGGGACCACAGGATAACGTCTCTGCTGTTTGCGATGATGTTTGTCCTGTTGGATCCCACAGACCACACCCTTGAGACTGGGACGATTTGCAGAGAGAGTGTGATTTGGCTGAGACTGTGTCTCAGCTGGATGGACGTGTGTCCTCTCATCTGGATGGACTGTGTCTCTCAGCTGGAAGGACTGTGTCTCAGCTGGAGGAAACTGTCTCTCAGCTGATGGACGTGTCTCTCAGCTGGATGGACTGTCCTCACAGCTGGAGGGACTGAGTCTCTCAGCTGGATGGACTGTGTCTCAGCTGGATGGACTGTGTTCTCAGCTGGATGGACCTGTGTCTCTCATCTGATGGACTGTGTTCAGCTGGATGGACTGTGTCTCAGCGGATGGACTGTGGTCTCAGCTGGATGGACTGTGTCCTCAGCTGGAGACTGTGTCTCAGCTGGAGGAACTGTCTCTCAGCTGATGGTCTGTGTCTCTCAGCTGGATGGACTGTGTCTCAGCTGGATGGACTGTGTCTCAGCTGGATGGACCCTGTGTCTCAGCTTGGAGGAACTGTCTCTCAGCTGGATGACTCGTTCTCAGCTGGATGGACCTGTGGTCCTCAGCTGATGGACCTGTGTCTCATCTGGATGGACTGTTGTCCTCAGCTGGGATGGACGTGTCCTCAGCTTGAGAACAGTCTCCAGCAGGATGACTGTGGTCTCAGCTGGATGGACTGTCTCACTGGACGACTGTGTCTCAGCTTGGATGGACTGTGTCTCTCAGCTGGATGGACCGTGTCACTCAGCGGATGGACTGTGTCTCTCAGCAGGATGGACTGTGTCTCAGCTGGATGGACTGTGCTCAGCTGGATGACTGTTCTCAGCTGGATGGACTGTGTCCTCTCAGCTGAGGACTGTGTTCTCTCAGCTGGATGGACTGTGTTCTCAGCTGGATGGACTGTGTCCTCAGCTGGATGGACTGTGACCTCCTTCACTGATGGACTGTGTCTCAGCTGGAGGAAACTGTGTCTCCTCACTAATTTGAATTATGAACACTCAGAAACTTCATATGATCCATGTTTTGTGTTGAGAGGAGGCTCATTTTGATTGCTAGACTGAATCTGATGGTGATTCGTCTGCAGTTTTTGAGTCATGAGGGCGGAAATTAGGGCTGTGATACAATATCAGATAAATAATCAATATTTTACAATTGAATACAATTATCGCTGTTTTATATAGAATATATATATATATTTATTTATATATATATATAAATTAATTCTCCACTCACCTGGCCCTCCGTGGGCGTTATCCCTCTCTAAGCTCGGGTCCACTACCAGAGGCCTGGGAAGCTTGAGGGTTCAGCGCAGTATCTTTGCTGTTTCCTAGCACAGCACATTTCTGGACACCAGATGTCCGAGGTTGTTCGGGGATCCGCTGTAACCACTCTTCTAGCTTCGGGTCACTGCCCCGAGTGCACCGATCACCCACGGGCACTACTGACACCATTACCCTCCAGGCCCTCTCCAGCTCTATATATATATATATAATATAATAATATATATAGTATATAGTATATATAACTATATATATTATATATATAAAGTAAACAGCTACTAATAGGAGCTGTTAACCAGCTCCTATTAACAAGCTACTCCCTGCAGTTGACAGATACCCTGCAGGAATAATCAGGTGCCAAAGGAAGAGAATTCAGACCACGTATGTTAAAACTCGCAAGCTCCGTTACCATGCATGGCTGGTTCCTTCCCAAATCCACACCCTGATACTGTAGCAAAGCCGTAAAGAAGAGGCCCGAGGTACTAGTGAGTGTGAGAGCCACTGTCCAGGACCAAACATACGCAAACTCCAGAACTAACCTCATGGAGAAGGCCAAAACGGATTACAGTACTCAGGAATGTCTCAGGCGTGGCGAGATGAGAAGGTGCTGGAGAAGCCATCATGGGAAACCAGCCCTACACGGCATGTACCCACCGTAGGATAGCAGAAGTGGCCTGATCTCAAGATGTCCTACAAAGGCTAGAAAGGTCTGCCTACAGGACAGCACAGAGGCACTTACATCAATGGCCACAGGAACAGCCCTGAGCACCAGAGAGAGGCCCAGATAGTACCACAACCAGACAAACCCAAGGTGTCGTTTGTGCAAAGATGAACTGAGACATCCAACACATTAACATGCAGGGTGCAAGATGACGCAGGGAAGGCCTACATGAACGCCATAACCAAGTGGCTGGCATAGTGTAACTAGAAACATCTGTGCAAGTATGGGCTGGAAACCCAAGGACTAAGTGGGAAACACCTCCTAATTGGTGGAGAAAGAGCGTGCAAAGATCCTGAGGGACTTCTCAGATACAGACCGACCGAAAGGTAAATGAACTCTAACCTGACATTGTGGTGGTATACAAAGGGCAGAGGACAGCCGTTGGTGTGGTGACCAAGGCAGAGGAACAGCCGTGGTGTGGACAAAGGCAGAGGACACCGAGGTGGTGGGCAAAGGCAGAGGACAGCCGTGGTGGTGGACAAAGGGCAGAGACAGCCGTGGTGGTGACAAAGGGCAGAGGACAGCCGTGGGTGGACAAAAGGGCAGAGACATGCCGTGGAGGTGGACAAAAGGGCAGAGACAGCCGTGGTGTGGACAAAGGGCAGAGGACAGTCCCCGTGGTGTGGACAAAGGGCAGAGGACAGCCTTGGTGGTGGACTTGGCAATTCCAAGCGATGGAAACATCAGGACAAAAAAGGAACATGAAAAGCTGAGAAATACCAGGTCTCAGAGAGGAGCTGGAGAGGGCCTGGATGGTAAAGGTTACAGTAGTGCCCTGTGAAAGGTGATGGCCAATTTTTTTTTAAAATATATATATATCTAATATATAAATCATATAATATATATAATATATAGTAGATATATACCGATTTAAGCTCGTTTCCATTATTTCGATTTTTTGATGTTACAAAAACAAATCTTGAGATATTTTTTCATCAAATGTAATGCACCACTAATAGCCATTAAGATACCAGCCAAAAGCCTTTTTTTACTGTGTTGTTATTTTTTGTTTGAATTGTATGACTATATTTTGACTGTGCGCACGTGTCACCTGCAGCCGCTGAACATACGTCTAAGTTTATCAGTCCAGGTCTCAGTTTCAGGTCTCAGTCCAGGCTTGGATTCTGCAGCTGCAGATTGAAACATTGTTATCTCTTTGATTGGCGCCACTCTGGATCAGCCAATCAGAGTACCTACGTCCCGCCCCCTGTGCACTTAGTATCACAGCCTAAAACTAACATGGTTTAAATGTGTTTGTTTTAACACACACAGTAAAGGAAAGGCTTTAACACGATTCACCCAGAACAATTTTCATTTGAAAACTTGGAAATGTTGTAATTGTAAAATTAATAAGGTCCTGGTTTAGACCTGGTTTAGACCTGGTTTAGACCTGGTTTAGACCTGGTTTAGACCTGGTTTAGACCTGGTTTAGACCTGGTTTAGACCTGGTTTAGTCCTGGTTCAGTCCTGGTGTTTAGACCTGGTTTAGACCTGGTTCAGTCCTGGTTCAGTCCTGGTTCAGTCCTGGTGTTTAGACCTAGGGTAGACCTGGTTTAGGTCCTGGTTTAGACCTGGTTTAGGCCTGGTTTAGGCCTGGTTTAGGCCTGGTTTAGACCTGGTTCAGTCCTGGTTCAGTCCTGGTTTAGACCTGGTTTAGACCTAGGCTAGACCTGGTTTAGACCTGGTTTAGTCCTGGTTTAGTCCTGGTTCAGACCTGGTTCAGTCCTGGTTCAGACCTGGTTTAGTCCTGGTTTAGTCCTGGTTTAGTCCTTGCTGACCCTTCTGTGTGTTCTTAGCGTGTGCTGAAGTGTCTGATGAAGAGGAGCTAGAGCCGACCTCCACAAAGGCCCAGAAAAACAAACGGACCAAGAGGACAGATGGTGAGTACAACTGATCCTGGTTTAGTCCTGGTTTAGACCTGGTTTAGTCCTGGTTTAGACCTGGTTTAGACCTGGTTTAGACCTGGTTTAGACCTGGTTTAGACCTGGTTTAGACCTGGTTTAGACCTGGTTCAGTCCTGGTGTTTAGACCTGGTTCAGTCCTGGTTCAGTCCTGGTGTTTAGACCTAGGGTAGACCTGGTTTAGTCCTGGTTTAGACATGGTTTAGGCCTGGTTTAGGCCTGGTTTAGACCTGGTTCAGTCCTGGTTCAGTCCTGGTTTAGACCTGGTTTAGACCTGGTTTAGACCTAGGCTAGACCTGGTTTAGACCTGGTTTAGTCCTGGTTTAGTCTTGGTTCAGACCTGGTTCAGACCTGGTTTAGTCCTGGTTCAGTCCTGGTGTTTAGACCTGGTTTAGACCTGGTTCAGTCCTGGTCCAGTCCTGGTTTAGACCTGGTTTAGACCTGGTTTAGACCTGGTTTAGACCTGGTTTAGACCTGGTTTAGACCTGGTTTAGACCTGGTTTAGTCCTGGTTCAGTCCTGGTGTTTAGACCTGGTTTAGACCTGGTTCAGTCCTGGTTCAGTCCTGGTTTAGACCTGGGTAGACCTGGTTTAGTCCTGGTTTAGACATGGTTTAGGCCTGGTTTAGGCCTGGTTTAGGCCTGGTTTAGACCTGGTTCAGTCCTGGTTCAGTCCTGGTTTAGACCTGGTTTAGACCTAGGCTAGACCTGGTTTAGTCCTGGTTTAGTCCTGGTTTAGTCCTGGTTCAGACCTGGTTCAGACCTGGTTCAGACCTGGTTTAGTCCTGGTTCAGTCCTGGTTTAGTCCTTGCTGACCCTTCTGTGTGTTCTTAGCGTGTGCTGAAGTGTCTGATGAAGAGGAGCTAGAGCCGACCTCCACAAAGGCCCAGAAAAACAAACGGACCAAGAGGACAGATGGTGAGTACAACTGATCCTGGTTTAGTCCTGGTTTAGTCCTGGTTTAGTCCTGGTTTAGTCCTGGTTTAGACCTGGTTTAGACCTGGTTTAGACCTGGTTTAGACCTGGTTTAGTCTTGGTTCAGACCTGGTTCAGACCTGGTTCAGACCTGGTTCAGACCTGGTTCAGACCTGGTTCAGACCTGGTTTAGTCCTGGTTTAGTCCTGTTTCAGTCCTTTTTTAGTCCTGGTTTAGTCCTGGTTTAGTCCTGGTTTAGTCCTGGTTTAGTCCTGGTTTAGTCCTGGTTCAGACCTGGTTCAGTCTTGGTTTAGTCCTGGTTTAGTCCTGGTTCAGTCCTGGTTTAGTCCTTGCTGACCCTTCTGTGTGTTCTTAGCGTGTGCTGAAGTGTCTGATGAAGAGGAGCTAGAGCCGACCTCCACAAAGGCCCAGAAAAACAAACGGACCAAGAGGACAGATGGTGAGTACAACTGATCCTGGTTTAGTCCTGGTTTAGACGTGGTTTAGACGTGGTTTAGACCTGGTTTAGGCCTGGTTCAGTCCTGGTTCAGTCCTGGTTCAGTCCTGGTTCAGTCCTTGTTTAGTCCTGGTTCAGTCCTGGTTTAGTCCTGGTTCAGTCCTGGTTCAGTCCTGGTTCAGTCCTGGTTCAGTCCTGTTTCAGTCCTGGTTTAGACCTGGTTCAGTCCTGGTTCAGTCCTGGTTTAGTCCTGTTTCAGACCTGGTTTAGGCCTGGTTTAGGCCTGGTTTAGGCCTGGTTTAGGCCTGGTTTAGGCCTGGTTCAGTCCTGGTTCAGTCCTGGTTTAGACCTGGTTTAGACCTGGTTTAGACCTGGTTTAGACCTGGTTTAGTCCTGGTTTAGACCTGGTTTAGTCCTGGTTTAGACCTGGTTTAGACCTGGTTTAGACCTGGTTTAGACCTGGTTTAGACCTGGTTTAGACCGTGTTTAGACCTGGTTTAGACCTGGTTCAGTCCTGTTTCAGTCCTGGGGTAGTCCTGGTGTTTAGACCTAGGGTAGACCTGGTTTAGTCCTGGTTCAGTCCTGGTTTAGACCTGGTCCAGACCTGGTCATCAGGATAAACATAAGTCTTTATGTGTCTTATTGTCTCCATCAGAAGCTTCTAGAAACCCAAAGAAACCCTGGAGTGAGGAGGAGAGCCGTGGAGAAGAGGATGGAGAAGTACCTGGCTCTGTGTGCTGTGCCTCACACAGGAGTCTGCAGCCCTCATCAACAGAACCTGGAAGGACCTCAAGTACTTTGTGTATAATACTATTATCCGACTCAAGAGGCAGCTTGTGTAGCTGGTATTTGTGTTAAACTCATTCCCAAAGCGCCGCAGTGGCTGCAGATTTTCCATCAGACCAAGCAGGAGCAGAGCAGACTCCTCCCATTTCCTCAGTGAGTTCAGTCTTAACCTGAAGGTTTGAGGAAATGGGAGGAGTCTGCTCTGCTCCTGCTTGGTCTGATGGAAAACCTGCAGCCACTGCGGCGCTTTAGGAATGAGTTTGACCGCCCTGCTTTAATGTTAAGTGCAGTTATGTTTTAAAGTCCCGTTCAAGAGCACTTTGTATTAGGTCCTTTGTAATTGTCCTGTTGGGACAAGTCAAAATACAAAGATGCAAATAAACCTGTCTTTCAAATGTTTTGCTTTGTTTTATTAAAATTGCTGTGATCCCACATAATAATCTGTGTCCATTTGCACATGTGACCAACTATATAATTCTAAATAAACCTTCAAAGAGTTAAAAAAAGGTCTATTCATGATTTCTTTTGCAAATTTCACTTATTGTCCCCACTCTGATGGTTCAAAACTTTTTCTTAAATCTTGGTTCTAAAATTTTTTCAATGGAGTGTATAGCTCCGCAGCGCCATCAAGTGTCTAGAAAGTGTTTTTTCTTCCTCCTAAAACATTGGGAAAGGCAAGTCCTCAGTTTTCATGTTTTTAACTACGACCTCACTAGTGTTTGCGGGAATGTGTGTGTTTGTGTGTGTGTGTTCTGGCGAATAGAGACTGATTGTTGAATGTCTGAAGTGTTATTGCAATAGCACCACACTGAGAGCGAGGGTCAGGGCAGATAGTAACATGTGTGCACGTGTGTGTGTGCGCGCCCCGGACACGAGTGCACACACACACACACTTCAGCAACGAGCGTACGAGCGCTGAGAAATGAATGAATGAGAATGAAAAGTGTGGAGCAAAGTGATCGGAGGCAGGGAAGTTACAAGTGTGTGTGTGTGTGTTCTGGTGATTAAATAAAGACTGATTCTTTAATGTCTGAAGTGTTACTGCGATAGCACCACTGAGAGCAGGGTCAGGACAGAGGGAGTTATACTCGTAGGGAAACGCTTTTCTTTGGCCTTGCAGCCACACACTCCCTGTGCCCCTCGGTCTGGGGCTTATATGAAAGGTTTAACAGAAGCGGAGAATATAAGAAAGTGCAGGAGAGACGTGTGTGTGAAAATGCGTGTCACAGGAAGACGTGTAATGTGACGCAAGATAATCAGATATTAGGACCGACATCACACACATCAGGTCTGAGTGAGATATTAGGACCTATAACACACACATCAGGTCTGAGTGAGATATTAGGACCTATAACACACACATCAGGTCTGAGTGAGATATCAGGACCTACAACACACACATCAGGTCTGAGTGAGATATAAGGACCTACAACACACACATCAGGTCTGAGTGAGATATTAGGACCTACAACACACACATCAGGTCTGAGTGAGATAATAGGACCTACAACACACACATCAGGTCTGAGTGAGATATTAGGACCTACAACACACACATCAGGTCTGAGTGAGATATTAGGACCTACAACACACACATCAGGTCTGAGTGACATATTAGGACCTACAACACACACATCAGGTCTGAGTGACATATTAGGACCTATAGTATAACAAGCACTTCAGGTCTGAGTGAAATATTTATCAATCGTTACTCCTTTCACGGAGAGTAACTCTGTAGATGGACAAATACATTATAACTTTAATGTAGAATTATTTATTTTTATACATTGTGTTTGTAATTTTTGACACCTCACTTTTATATTTGTTTTTGATGTTTTAAATTCTAATTTAAACATGATTTTCCAACTGGAGTTAAGACAATTTTTCAGGGAGATAATCTACTGACACAAGGAGAATATGCAAGCTCCACTCCAAAAGGCCCCTTCTGGCTGAAAGTTTTTTTCTTTTCTTTTTTTTTACAAACACACACTCACTACTCAAGTATCTTTTTAAATTACCATGAGTCAATATTTTGGCTATTCTACCCACCTCTGGGAATGTATTTAAGTTTGTGACAAAATAGGTGACATATGAGGACAAGTGTGTGTGTGTTAAAAGTGTGTTAAGGTAGTACCGTGCACGACCAGAGAGGCGCTTCAAACTTTTTGGGACGGAGTGTTTCGGCCCCGACACACATTTTCACTATTTGTAGACATTTTGGGACATGCTTGATTTTTGGTGTGGAGCTTGTTCTGGGCCTCTACAACACTGTAGTATGCATGGAAAAATGGGGACCTGAAAAAAGTCCTCACATTTCCTCAGGTCCTGATATTGAAGGTGTGTTATCATACAAAAGTCCTCATATGTCCACAAAACAAACGCACACACACACACACACACACACACACACACACACATACACACACTTACCCTACCCTAACCCCAGTAGTACCTTTGTTGTTTATTGTACTGTAACTATGTATTATCACTGTTATCTGTATTCTGTGAAATAAAATTTTAAAAAATAAAATAAAATAAATAAATAAAAATAAAGTAAGAATGAGGGAGCCGGAAATGTATTCTATAATCATGTCATTATAGTATCATTTTTATCACATGATTATAATGAATAACTGCCAAGCCATGAATATGGTACTTAAAAGTGAAGATGAAGATCAGTTACATTTTAATTTGTTGTGTCTGATTGCAGAGCAATGGAGAGAGCTGAGTTAGTTCCGACAGCTCTCTCTCAGGGAGAGTCCTACCACGTCTTCTGCAGCTACAGCAGCACTGACTACCAATGGACACACACTCTCATACAGCAGCTGGAGCAAAGTGGTCTGAGAGTGTGTGACCATGAGAGAGACTTCACTGCAGGACGTCCCATCCTTAACAACATGTCTGAGAGCATCCAGAAGAGCCAGAAGGTGCTGCTGGTCCTGAGTGCAGAGTTTGTGCAAAGCCGCTGGTGTCTGCTGGAGGCCAACATGTCCATGTTCAGAGACTGTCTCCAGAGGAAGCCCATAGTGCCATTGCTGCTGCAGAGGGACCTGCCCATTCCTCTGCACCTGGCCCACCTCACCTACCTGGACGTCCACCAGCCCGACTTCAGACAGCAACTGATGCGAGTCCTGTGTACGCCCAACCAGGAGATGCAGGGCTCCACTGTAGTGCCCTACCAGCCTCCCTCCTTCTATAATGGAAAAAGACTTGAGCCTCTGTCCCCAGTTAATGATGGGGTGATCAATGAGTTTGACTGTGGAGAATGGAGCACTTTAGTTCCCCAACAACTGCGCTTGATAATTCAGCAGCCACAGCGCTACCAGGAAGCCATAGATATAATAAATACTGTTTCCCAAACAAAAGTCAAATACAGGACAACCTGGTCTCAAGGTTTGTTCTATTTTTCAAGGATAGGAACACTTGTTTTTGGCGCTCCAGTATTTTTACTTTTATATAATGTGCCTAATATCTCGTTAACAGCTCTGAACATCACATTTGGTGTGTGTATCACTGTAGTGGCACTTTGGGCATTATATGGAGTTGCTTTCTTCTACAAACACAAGCCTGAACACATCCTTCATGAGCTTCAGAAGGCCGTGGGTCAGGCCAACGGTCTCCTGCACGAGGAGCACGTCCTGATCGGGGCTCAGTCCAACTCTAAACTGTTCCTGGTGTATGTGAGTGTGGAGAGATGCAGACAGGAGCTGAGTGCACAGGACCAGTACCAGGAGGGTTTTTATAAAGCCATTCTGGAGCACTCCTCTGAGTACACATGCTGCCTCTTTAACAGATACTTCCCCTTCGACACGTCCTCCACCTCTGCTCACCTGGAGGGAGGCGTGTGCTTCTGTCAGTTTGTTATCCATAAGCTCTCTAGCAAAGAGACTAAGTTTAGGTGTTTCTGTTTTCCTAATAAATGCAATTCATAATTTCAATATATATATATATGAATAAATGAATAATGCCACGTTTTTGTCTTCTGTGAATTGTTGTGGTTTCTTTTTTTTCTAATATTCAGATAAAAAGAGACAATAAGATAAGACATTTAAAGTATTCAAAGTCAATGAACCTCTACCCATTCAGTCTTATTATCACCACAAAAAAAGATTAACTGAGGGTTCGGATGAAATTTTCAGGAAGTTTGTGTTACTGTCACAGGTAGAAAGAGTTTACTGTTGTCTTGGAGATTTGGTCAAATGGTGAATACAAACTATGTCCCAAAACAGATTTAAAAGAATGTTAATTGATAATTTTATCAAAACGTTTTTAGAACAACAATGTAGTGACATTGGATTAAAAAGACTTTTAAGATTAACTGTCCTCCACACTGTCCATGCCCATGCTTATCTCCTGCATTCCCCCTGTTCCGACCAGGATTCAAACCCAGGACCTTCTTGCTGAGAAGCAAGAGTGCTATCCACTCAGCCACTGACTAAGTCTGCGTCCCCATGAACTTAAGTCTTCATTTTTGCCAAACGGTTGCAGGCTTTCCCAATCATGAATCTATTCCTGACGCACCTCCCTGGCGCCCTCCGCTCCATTTGTTCATGGTCTGCTCCTCTGTGTGTGCTCGTTCCGATCCCTGTCCGCGGTCACCTGGGCGGGTGGCCCAGGCCTCACATCTGTCCTGTTAGTTCCATGTCCCACTTTTCCGCTCTTTCTTTCCCTGTCAATCTCCACGCAGGTGCGTTTGTTGTGCTACACTCAGGAGAGGATGGGGGTCATGTGGCCTCGGGTGGGTGGTCATACCATTAATTTTGTCACACCACAGCACAGAAATATTGAATTAAAAACACTAATTAAAATAGTTTGGCCTAGTAGTGTTAGTTAGTAGTGGCCCCTGACATTACGGCCCAAGTTAAAACAAATTGGAGGTGATCCATTTCGTCAACTGGAGGCAGGATATTGTTTTAAGGAATGGTATTGCCCTTTTAGGTGGAGGTCTGCCCTTCTAGGTGGAGGTCTGCGCTTTTCTAGAACAAAAGCGGTTTTGTGTTTTGAATACACTGTTCCTTTAAGACTGTGGAGGGAGGAGGGATTCCTCTACATTTCCTGGTCCAAAGTCCCCATTTCTTGTCTTTGGGTCATCTCTGGTGTTTGGTAGGTACACATTCTTTTCTTTTCTTTGTTAGCAGATATACTTACAAGAAACATAATAAATAGTAAATATAATACTGTGATATTTTGGGGAAAGGTGTGTGTTTAAACATCAAGAAGCACTGTGGAGTCCAGAACAAACTCTGTCCTGTGTTTACCATCATCCAACTGCTCTGATAGTTATTTCATCTGCTTATTCCAGAGTCACATGACTCATATTTATAACACATTAAAAATACATACATGTTGTCCACTACATTGAGGAGAGGAACTACTCTATTTGCCTGCAGCCAACATTAGAAACTCCTTAGAAGCTGTTGTAAAGACCAAATTGAAGACACAAACATTTCACGAGCTCAATCGATGTTCTGTCTTTTTTTGATTGAAACCTGCATCACTTTTATGTGAAACAATTTGTGACAAATTGGTGAAATGTGTTACAGTTTCCCCCGCTAAATTTAGAGCTGACGTTTGTGATGTAAATTAATAAACCAAACAACTGAGCAGATCCAAAACATGATTTGTTTATCCTCGCCTCCAATCCTGCATCCTGACAGTCATTTGGAGCGTTCACTGGGCCATTACTGCAGGTGTTTGTGGAATATGTCGTCCAAATCTTCTCATTACTTGTTATGGAGAACTTTGAGACACGTATACGAACTGACAAGAAATAAGTAGAAAATCTGCTGATTGGAAAATTGGATGGTACACATACGTGTGGCTTGGTCGAGACAGAGGATGGAAGAGGTTTTGAGCTCTATTACATTGTTGAACATGCTTTACATGGACTACATTCCATCAGAGTGTAATTTAAAACGATCTGTGTATTTACTTTTGTACCTAAAAGTTACTAAAGTAAATACACCACTGGCTAAAATAAAATATTCCTAAAATAAGACAACTTTGAGTTGGTTAATGAGAGTTGATTGCTTGAGTGGAAAACAAATATTATACCTATGGATAAGTTATTTTAAATGGAGAGTAAAGTTGTATAATATAATATAATCATATCCATCTGATAATTCTCCCATTCAAGTCACTTTACCTGTTGATATTATTTCTGATGTTTATTCTGCTCATATTCATATTCTCATATTCTCTGCTGCTAATGTATAATAAAGACATCTGTAAATACTCCGAACCAAGTGCACTTATAGCCCAGAGTTTCTTATTTTATTTTATTTTATTTTATCTTAAATTTATTGTCTATTATCTTAAATAATAGACTTTGATGTGTGCAATCTGAGTGCTCTTATTTCCTTTCTCTGCTGTAATGTGCAACGATGACACTGACATTTCTCCACTGTGAGACTAATAAAGGTTTATCTTATCTTATCTTATAATTATTTTTTTAGAATTTGTTTCATGTATTGTTGTTTATGTTCCTAATAATCTGACCCCAAACTGATCTCTGACAGAGAAATGGAGAGTGCAGAGTTTCTGTCTCCGGTGCTCTCTCAGGGAGAGTCCTACCACGTCTTCTGCAGCTACAGCAGCACTGACTACCAATGGACACACACTCTCATACAGCAGCTGGAGCAAAGTGGTCTGAGAGTGTGTGACCATGAGAGAGACTTCACTGCAGGACGTCCCATACTAGACAACATGTCTGAGAGCATCCAGAAGAGCCAGAAGGTGCTGCTGGTCCTGAGTGCAGAGTTTGTGCGAAGCCGCTGGTGTCTGCTGGAGGCCAACATGTCCATGTTCAGAGACTGTCTCCAGAGGAAGCCCATAGTGCCATTGCTGCTGCAGAGGGACCTGCCCATTCCTCTGCACCTGGCCCACCTCACCTACCTGGAAGTCCAGCAGCCAGACTTCAGACAGCAACTGATGCGAGTCCTGTGTACGCCCAACCAGGAGATGCAGGGCTCCACTGCGCCTCCATCTCTCTACAATGGGAAGAGACTGGAGCCTCTGTCCCCAGTTAATGAACGGAATCTCATTAATAAGTTTGACTGTGGAGTGTGGAGCAACTTTGTGCCTGACCAACTGAGCTTGATCATTAGGAAGCCAGAACGCTACAGAGAGGCCGTAGGTATCATTAACTCTGTATCTCAGAAGAAGGTCAGGTTTAGATCTTACTGGAAACTAATCCTTCCTTTCTTTGGGGTTGGATTAGTTATTGTAGGGTTAGCGTACTTAATATATTTTCTAATAAAAATGCCTTTTAGGGACGATGTGCAACATGCATTTAAGATAGTGGGAATAATATCTTCAACAATCATAATAATTGGATTATGTTATCCAATATTCACCTTCAGAATAAAAGAGATACACCGTATAGTGCACGAGCTTCAGAAGGCCGTGGGTCAGGCCAACAACCTCCTGTACGAGGAGCACGTCCTGATGGGGGCTCAGTCACACTCTAAACTGTTCCTGGTTTATGTGAGTGTGGAGAGATGTAAACAGGAGCTGGCCCAGGACCAGGAGTTCTTCCATGACTCTATCCTGAAGTTCTCCTGTGAGTATGCATGCTGTCTTTCCAAAAGGCACTTCCCCTCTCCAAATGCCTCCACTTTGAGCCATCTGGAGGGAAACATGTGCTTCTGTCAGTTTGTTCTTCTTAAGATCTCAGCGAAAGAAGGAAGAAAAAACAGGTGATATAGTAGTTGTATAAATACTGTTCAATCATAAGATTTTTCTTCAGCTTAGTTGTTATATTGTAAGTACATGTCAGGTTTCAAATCTAAAAGTAATTTTTCAAACTGAATTTTTTTGGAGTTAGCTAAGGAGCTCCATTCCAATTGAAAAGGATGAGACATTTTTTATATAGAACAATCTTGAACATGTGGAGAAGCTCGCCAGAACAACAGACAGGGATGATGGGAAGGTGGACGAAACAAACTCCAGGACAATCTTCCAAGAAAAAGCTGCTGAAGTTAACAAAACACTTGATGCTGGGATGAATGTTTACGGACGATTTGGGCTATTTTCACTTTTCATACAACAGAATGGTTTATTATAAAACATAGAATTGCTTTGTCAAAGTCTAGACCTAAAACCAAGTGATAATTGTGTTGCTCTCAAACGTTCTTCATAAAATCTGACATAGCTTGAGTTGTTTTGTGATTGTGTTTTTGACGAATGGCCAGGCCCAAAAACACTTGTGTGGTCACTTTGCAACTTTTCAGTTTTGTTAATTTTCATGAACAAAATAATGTATAGTTTTGCTTTCACTTCGCAGTCTATTATGTACTTTGTTATGAGATTTTAGTAAAGCCTCCAAAATATAACATTTGTGGGGAAAACATGACAAAAAGTGCAAAAGTTTAAGCTGTGTTTACACTTTCATAAGGCCGTAATGTACGGAAAGAAAATGGACGAATCAAACATGCACTGTGTCCTTTTTGCAGTCACTGTTTATGTTCTGTAACTTTTGTCATTGGCTGCTTGTAATTACTTGTAAAAATCTATAACTACCAAAATAGTTCTGCTGTCCGTGTATTGATTAATGCAGTAGATTGATAAAATGTTGTCTTGGTCCTCTTTCCTCGTTCTTGTGAGTCAAATGAGTTCCAATCTGTCATGTGATGAAGTGAATGAAGACCCAAAATTGCAGGAATGCCAAAAATACGGGTTTAATGATAAAAAAAAAGTCCAGACGAAACCAACTCAAAATACAAAACCAAAACAGGACCAGGACCAGGAACAGGATGGAAACAGAGACATGAACAACACAATGGACCAGCACAAGGGGAGAGGAGCACAGGGTACAAACAGACACAGACAGAGGTGAAGCACATCAGGGCGGGGCAGACAACCAAGACAGGGGAACCAGGACAGGAAGTCAAACTAAAACTAATTCACAGATAACAGACGTCAAAATAAAACAAAAATACAAAAATAAAACCCACACCATAACAAAATCCTTATGAAGGTTCCATCTTATTGCATAGAGTGTGTTTAATTATGAAGGATATAATACTGTATCAGATTTCAAACAACAAGTATGGAGGGACAAAACTGCCCAAATGATAAACAGATCAAGGAATAAATATATCAATAAATGTTCAATGAATTGTCATTGTTTTTTTATTGAAAAAAAAGAAAACAAAAACCAAATGTTCTTTTTATTTTATTTTTAAAAATCTTTATGAAGTGAAAATAGACACACAAACGGTAGAGATAGATATGCCAAAGTGAAAGTGATTAGTAAGAATAAAATTGTGAAGCGGCAACAAGAAAAAAGCAGGTATTGAAAGTAAACTTGATGATTTTAACTTTGACTTTGACATTGATGCAGTATTAACAGAAACACAACATGTCTACACAACCTGCACTGTGGACAAAAGGAAGGAAGACTAAATGTAAAAATGTAAAAATCATTTATATTTCAAACAATTGTCCTGTCCCACAATTGAAAATAAGAAAAATCCTTTGCTACATGTCTCTTTCTTACAATGTACAACACATTTTTGATAGATTTTTTTTCCATTTCATCCATATCGTAAAATGATTGGTTTCATTGTTGTTGCTTTGATGATGTTGTTTGCAGAGTTTCTTTATTTCATATTCAAGTGTTTTCCACAGTTTGACTCCAGCCACTGATATTCTATGATGTGTTTCTGGCAAAAGGAGAGAGGAGTGGAGCGTCTTCTGCTCTTCTGCTGGATTTGAGAGGGAAAAGCTCTTGCACAGCTGCTGGCAGCAGAGAGTCCTTGGCTTTCTACAGTGCATCCATGAGTGGCTGCAGTTTAATAAGATCCAGTCATTTGAACTGTTTTGCTTTGATGAATCACTGCTTTGTGTTTACTCTTTAGGATTGAGGATTAATCCTCACAAGGATTGATTGTGTTTTTGTGTTTTCCCATACTTAAAAACAGGGTCAAATGGGGAAAGATCAAGGTACTGTACAGCAGCCTTGGGGCATTCACATCTCATGGGTATTAAACCGACGTAGGTTTTTATAAATTTGAATGAAACTTTTTCTTGTGGAGCCCTAAAGCACAACAGGTAACTTAACTCACAGGACTTACTCAACTGTTCGCCAACACAGATCAGAGAATCCAAAAGTTCGAACACAAAACATTTTTATATGATCTATATGTGTCTATTGAGAAGCTGAAGCTATGCAGGGTAGGGCCTGGTTAGTATTGTGATGGGAGACCTCAGTGATCACCAGGTGCCACATTGGGGCGGCTGCGGCTGTAAAGTGCCAAACTATCGTTGTGCCCTTAGGCCATACACTTTGGTGCCCCGCTTCTGTCAGTGTGCCCCAGGGCAGGTGTGGCTTCAGTAGTATGTGTATGGAGTGAAAGAATGACACGTGAAGTGTCTTTGAGTGTGCAGAAAAGCGCATTATTAGAACATTTACTCATGTCCTACAGATCAACTCTGTTCTCTCCTATTGTTTATGTTTTAAACTGACACAGGACACTGGGTATTGTTGTTGATGGATGGATTCGATAATGCAATAACAGGTTTTTTTATTTGCCAATGAAAAAAGGCAGTAGACTGGCCAGGCAGTGCATTGTGGGTAATGGAGTGTGTGATTGGGAGAAGAAACGGAAATTTTCAATGTGTGCCTTTAAAAAATGTACTTACAAAATTGGGCCAATGTTATTGATTATTATTATTACCAATCAATCAATCAATCAAAGTTTATTTGTATAGCACTTTACAACAACACCAGGAGGACCAAAGTGCTTCACAGAGAGATTAAAACAATTTAAAACACAAAATGAAAACAACCAACACACAATTCAGTGTGCCCTAAGTATTAAAAGCAAGTTTAAAAAGACTTGCTTTTATTATGAAAGTGACCAAAATGCTTTTGGAAACAAAATAGGACGTTTGTGTTGGAAATGATTTTTTTATGTGTATTTTATTGTATCATATTATCATCTTTAAAAAATACATATATAATTAATATCAGTCATGTATAAATATGTTCAACAATAATTCTCAATAGATACAAGTTCTCAAAATAACAACAGAAACAGTTCCCTATGTTTCCAAAAAATACTGTTATTGTTGTTACAAAAAAGTAATTAGATGGGCTGAAACTTCCATTTCGTATACTTGGTAGTTACGTTCAGTTGCGTATTTTTACCAGGATTTTACCCGTGGATTGAAATGTGTGGATCTGCAAAAATGGAGAATTGTGGCAACTGGAATTCATAATAACGCTCAACAAATGACACAAAGGTGAAGTTTCGTCAAGTCAGAGGAGGACATCTCTAATGTGGAAGCTTCTAAAAAAGGAAATCTAGTTTCTGAGGTGGGATGTAAGGGACAGGCTGGAGGTGTCGGGGCCTGCACTCAGATCACAGATCTACACATTTAACTATGTTTCTGTCACAAATCCACGGAGAGACCAAGACAGGATTGGATGTGGGTGGTAGCTAGAAATTGACCATGTTGTTTTCATTCACATTTGGCAGGAAAGAAATACTTTTACTTTCTCAGTGGCCCTCATTTATGAAACGTGCGCAGAAAAGGGTTTATTTTTTTGGTGTAGATTCACAATACGCAAGATCCAATGTGAGATTTATGAACGTGTGAGATCCGCCCAGATCCGAGTGTATGCACCCGAGGCTGTTAATAAATGCCACGCTCAAAACCAGCGTAAATATGAAAGTCACGCCTATAATTATTCAGAAACCGCCTGTTTCACCCCCCGGTTTTATGACAGGTCGCCACGCAATCCTGAGTTTATTCACGTTTGTGAAAAAATATACGCTATATTATATATATATGCGTTCTAGACCCACTGCAGCACTCATCTCTCTTTAGAAGTATATAAATAAATAAATAAATTAATGAATGTTAATATCTCAGCTTCAGCGGTGGCTCGCATCATTAACCGGGTGAAGCGTCTGAGCGATCTCTGTGAGAGAGAAAGATACGTATGAGAAGCTTTTGGAAAGTGTTTGTGATTTCATAGAGGAACTCTAGATCCAAAACGTCTGAACGACGCGCACCACATCTGAGGCAGTGATGCGGTGGACTCTTGGCACCTGCTGCGCTACTGTCCCCAAGCCACTTCCTGGGAGCCTGTTTCCGACAGATTAGTGCGTTGCCATCCTATCTCTGCACATGTGGAGTTCAGGGCAGTGGCTGAGTAAGTTTTGAGTGAGACCATGTGCGTTTATGAGCTTTATGCACAAAACGAAGGAAAAAACACATTGCTTGCCAGAGGTGAACGAGGAAAAACAATAGCCGTGCGTAATTACGCACGCAGCGCCACAGATTTACAAAGCAAGAGACTTACACATCCCTGTTGTGTAAGTTAGTGAGTAAGTCAAGTGTTTTTGTAATAGCGCGCCTTTCACAGACCAGATCACAAAGCACTTCACATTATAAACATACATATAAATATAACACAAACAAGTCAGATTTAAAAAACGAAGAAACAGAAGAGGGTCTTCATCATGAACCGTGCGTGTTTCCATTAGTTTTTTTAAACATGATGCCAATGAAAACACAGCGTAGTATTTTGCCCAAATGGAACATTTTATTGTTGTCCATATCTTGAATTCCATGCATGTTTTGGCGTGTTGTTTGAAGTTGAATGGTGTAAAATTGTACACTACCTCCTGACTTGGCGTTATAGTTTGTGCGACCGTACACCCAACGTCCAGATCGCTAAAATCCAAAAAGTGATTCGTACGCCTCATTACACCCTGATATGCCGTACGCAGTTTCATAATGAGGCCCGTGGGGAGGCACCTGAGGCTCCTCACAGTGGTTTTGTTGTTGTTAATCCTTTGCCTTATGACGGTGACAATGATTCCTGGACATTTAAAGTGACATAGACTTTGTAATAACAGTCGTCTTGGAGACTTTATAGCTAATGCTGTTGTGCGTTAGGGCACATTTGTATTTCTATTTGATTATGATTTTCCATCAGTTTACGGAGTGGCAGGCCAGACTTAGACAACATATTTGTGTCCTGTAGAGGCGGCAGATAGTTTTTTTTCTGCTGTGTCTCTGCAGTTGATCTAATGTGTCATAGACGTATGTAGTGGCTCATGGTGTGGTAGCGGAGCATGTGGCCTTGGTGCCCCTGGGGAGTTCTGTTCCTCTGTGTCCATGTTGTCTTGCAGCTGGAGTGTATTGAAGCGTCTGTTGGTCGGGTCTGTAAACTGCCCCCGCGGATTTCAATCAACGTATCTCTGCTCTGTCAATTACAACTGTACAAACCTGTGCGCCTTCACCACTTGTTATGGACACAACTATGACAATCATATCGAGACAAACGTTTTGCTGATCTTTGAATATCTACTAACTATACCAATAGCCCTGTTTTTCCTCCCACTCATCAACATTTTCTCCGCCGCGCTCCATACAAAGAAACAGGCTTGTTTTGCTGTGGAATACCCCCCCCCCCCCCCCCCCCCCCCCCCCCCCCCCCCCCCCCCCCCCCCCCCCCCCCCCCCCCCCCCCCCCCCCCCCCCCCCCCCCCCCCCCCCCCCCCCCCCCCCCCCCCCCCCCCCCCCCCCCCCCCCCCCCCCCCCCCCCCCCCCCCCCCCCCCCCCCCCCCCCCCCCCCCCCCCCCCCCCCCCCCCCCCCCCCCCCCCCCCCCCCCCCCCCCCCCCCCCCCCCCCCCCCCCCCCCCCCCCCCCCCCCCCCCCCCCCCCCCCCCCCCCCCCCCCCCCCCCCCCCCCCCCCCCCCCCCCCCCCCCCCCCCCCCCCCCCCCCCCCCCCCCCCCCCCCCCCCCCCCCCCCCCCCCCCCCCCCCCCCCCCCCCCCCCCCCCCCCCCCCCCCCCCCCCCCCCCCCCCCCCCCCCCCCCCCCCCCCCCCCCCCCCCCCCCCCCCCCCCCCCCCCCCCCCCCCCCCCCCCCCCCCCCCCCCCCCCCCCCCCCCCCCCCCCCCCCCCCCCCCCCCCCCCCCCCCCCCCCCCCCCCCCCCCCCCCCCCCCCCCCCCCCCCCCCCCCCCCCCCCCCCCCCCCCCCCCCCCCCCCCCCCCCCCCCCCCCCCCCCCCCCCCCCCCCCCCCCCCCCCCCCCCCCCCCCCCCCCCCCCCCCCCCCCCCCCCCCCCCCCCCCCCCCCCCCCCCCCCCCCCCCCCCCCCCCCCCCCCCCCCCCCCCCCCCCCCCCCCCCCCCCCCCCCCCCCCCCCCCCCCCCCCCCCCCCCCCCCCCCCCCCCCCCCCCCCCCCCCCCCCCCCCCCCCCCCCCCCCCCCCCCCCCCCCCCCCCCCCCCCCCCCCCCCCCCCCCCCCCCCCCCCCCCCCCCCCCCCCCCCCCCCCCCCCCCCCCCCCCCCCCCCCCCCCCCCCCCCCCCCCCCCCCCCCCCCCCCCCCCCCCCCCCCCCCCCCCCCCCCCCCCCCCCCCCCCCCCCCCCCCCCCCCCCCCCCCCCCCCCCCCCCCCCCCCCCCCCCCCCCCCCCCCCCCCCCCCCCCCCCCCCCCCCCCCCCCCCCCCCCCCCCCCCCCCCCCCCCCCCCCCCCCCCCCCCCCCCCCCCCCCCCCCCCCCCCCCCCCCCCCCCCCCCCCCCCCCCCCCCCCCCCCCCCCCCCCCCCCCCCCCCCCCCCCCCCCCCCCCCCCCCCCCCCCCCCCCCCCCCCCCCCCCCCCCCCCCCCCCCCCCCCCCCCCCCCCCCCCCCCCCCCCCCCCCCCCCCCCCCCCCCCCCCCCCCCCCCCCCCCCCCCCCCCCCCCCCCCCCCCCCCCCCCCCCCCCCCCCCCCCCCCCCCCCCCCCCCCCCCCCCCCCCCCCCCCCCCCCCCCCCCCCCCCCCCCCCCCCCCCCCCCCCCCCCCCCCCCCCCCCCCCCCCCCCCCCCCCCCCCCCCCCCCCCCCCCCCCCCCCCCCCCCCCCCCCCCCCCCCCCCCCCCCCCCCCCCCCCCCCCCCCCCCCCCCCCCCCCCCCCCCCCCCCCCCCCCCCCCCCCCCCCCCCCCCCCCCCCCCCCCCCCCCCCCCCCCCCCCCCCCCCTCCCCCCCCCCCCCCCCCCCCCCCCCCCCCCCCCCCCCCCCCCCCCCCCCCCCCCCCCCCCCCCCAGAGAGAAAGATACGTATGAGAAGCTTTTGGAAAGTGTTTGTGATTTCATAGAGGAACTCTAGATCCAAAACGTCTGAACGACGCGCACCACATCTGAGCAGTGATGCGGTGGGACCTCTTTGGCACCTGCTGCGCACTGTCCCAGAGCCACTTCCTGTGAGCCTGTTCCTACAGATTAGTGCGTTGCCATCCTATCTCTGCTACATGTGGAGTACAGGGCAGTGGCTGAGAAAGTTTTGAGTGAGACCATTGGTGCGTTTATGGAGCTTTATGCACAAAACTAAGGAAAAAACACATTGCTTTGCCAGAGGTGAACGAGGAAAAACAAATAGCCGTGCGTAATTACGCAGCGCAGCCTGCCACAGATTTACAAAGCAATAGACTTACACATCCCTGTTGTGTAAGTTAGTGAGTAAGTCAAGTGTTTTTGTATAGCGCCTTTCACAGACCAGGATCACAAAGCACTTCACATTTAAAAACATACATATAAATATAACACAAACAAGTCAGATTTAAAAACGAAGAAACAGAAGAGGGTCTTCATCATGAACCGTGCGTGTTTCCATTAGATTTTTAAACATGATGCTCAATGAAAACACAGCTTATTATTTTGCCAAAGTGGGAACATTTTTATTGTTGTCCAAATCTTGAATTCCATGCATGTTTTGGCGTGTTGTGTTGAAGGTTGATATGGGTGTAAAATGTACACTACCTCCTGACTTGGCGTATAGTTTGTGCGTACCGTACACCCACGTCCAGATCGCTAAATGCCAAAAAGTGATTGCGTACGCCTCATTTACACCCTGATATGGCCGTACGCAAGTTTCATAAATGAGGCCCAGTGTGAGGCTCCCTGAGGGCTCTCACAGGTGTTTTGTTGTTGTTAATCCTTGCCTTATGACGGTGACATGATTCTGGACATTTAAAGTTACATAGACTTTTAATAACAGTCGTCTTGGAGGACTTTATAGCTAATGCTGTTGTGCTTTAGGGCACATTTTTATTTCTTATTTGATTGATTATTTTCCATCATTTTACTGGAGTGGCAGGCCAGACTTAGACAACATATTTGTGTCCAGTAGAGGGCGCAGGATAGTTTTTTTTCTGCTGTGTCTCTGCAGTTGATTCTAATGTTCATATACGTATGTAGTTGCTCATGTTGTTGTAGCAGAGCAGTGTGGCCTTGTTGCCCCTGGAGTTCTGTTTCTCTGTGTCCATGTTGTCTTGGCATCTGGAGTGTATTGAAGCGTCTGTTGGTCTGGGTCTGTAAACTGCCACCCGCTGATATCAATCAACGTATCTCTGCCTCTGTCAATAACAACTGTACAAACCTGTGCGCCTTCACCACTTGTTATGGTACACTACTATACAATCATATCGAGACAAACGTTTTTGCTGATCTTTGAATATCTAACGGTATACCCAAAGCCCTGTTTTTCTCCCACTCATCAACCTTTTCTCCTGCCGCGCTCCAAACAAAGAAACAGGCTTGTTGCTGTGGAAACAATGGAAATCCATCCCAATAGTCCAATTACAAAAGAGCACAATTAAAGCAGATGGGTTGTATTAAACAGGCTTGATCCTATGTGCCTTTTGGACTCCATAGAGATCACCCCATGACTTTTTATTCTTCAGTTTGTGTATTTGCTCATTAGAAATATCTGTCTAATGTTCACGGGCCACTGCCTGTTGACTACTAGGAAAATGGAAATAATGAGCGTTCAGCCGCACAGGGAGAGGGGGGATCCAAGTGTGCATCTAACTTATCCACATCATGATAAAGTACATTCTTTACACCCTTCAATGCCACTAGAGCACGCTGGCAGAACACATCTCCCCTTTTTTTTTTGTTACACAAATTGTCATTGAGTTGTTGACTAGAAACTAATCGATAAAAAATAATTAAAGACAAGTTGACCTCAAGAATAACTGAGTGACAACACCCTGATGAAAGCAGAACCCCTATAGCACAAAAGCCAACAGCGTAATTTCCAAATATAAAGGCACTAGATCTAAACAGACCTGAAAACTGGCTCAATCAAAATGATTTCAGAAATTTGACGTCCTATATATATTATACATTTTTGAATTAACATACAGAGCTGAACAATTGTCATTACTATACTCACAGAATAGGCACACAGAATAGGCTATAGAGTAGGAGGGTTATCAAAAAGTGAGAAAGGTTTAATAATAAAAAGCAGCATGAAGTCTCCTCTAATGCTATGCCTCCCAAGGAAACCCACAGGCAGTGGGTAATACAATGTCATTTTATCTGATTACACACTGTCCTCCTCAGATAATATATTCACCATTTCTTCACCGCGACTTCGACTACAAATTCCTGGGTCTCTCTGTCCTCTCTCTCAGTATGTGCCATCGCAGGTTGCATGATGACAATAATACTCAGTATGGTGCAATACTCACCCGCTTTAAAATGAACAATTATTGATTTCTTATAGGGCCAGATTTTTTCACAATATTTTTGTTTTTACTAAAAAGTACAGTTAATCTGTATTATTTGTTGTACTTTACACTTTTAGGTAAAAACAAAATATTTTGTGTAAACTACAAATAGAATCAAACTATTAGAAATTGTTGAAAGGACTTATATACATTGTGGTTTTTTATTTTGGTACACAGCTTCAAGAATGCGATTTTGTGGCAACACAAGTATCACATTCTCTCAGTTATTGTCTCTTAACATCAGTTTAGTCCATCTACACGCTACAATATTAAACATGTAAACATTGAAATGCACATTGTGATTCTAGACATTACAGTTTGAACATAGAACCTACCAGCGCCCCCTGCAGCATCGCAAGACTCAGAACCTCTGGCCCTGCTCTGCTGTGCGGCAGCTGCGCTAACGTGCACAAAGCAATAGTGACATTGGGGACGCATCCGACCAGCGGTGCAATTAAAAACACAGGCCACACCAAGCAGCGACGCCTGAAAGCTGAGCACCACCAGTTGCTGGACATAAACCTCAGTCGCCAACACAATCCAAAACAACTGTTAACTTCAGCATGCTTCGCCACGAGCCCTGTGCAGCGGATGTGACGTGGATTAGAGGAGAGGCAAAGTTGTGCGCCCCCTACTCTCAATGGGCTCACTACATACGCTAATCCCTTCACATTTATATCAATATTCAGGGTCTATCAGCTGTATCCTGCTCCCTGCTGTACCGATAAGAAGAGAAGATTTAATAAACTTTGTGCAAATCCGTAGATATTGTGATTTCTGAAAGCAGACTAGATGACTTTGTCTGACTTTGAAACCGAAATGAGATTCATTTCTCTTGCCGCTGCAGACAGACCAGCCTGTGGCATACATCACAAGACTTAACCCAGATGCTGATGAGCTAATGTGGAATAGTACAAAGATCACCTTTGGTTTGGTACAAGCAGCAGATTCAATTACAACTACAAGTCACCACAAAATGAAATAGACAAATGGATCTTGAAAATAGTCATTCTTTCAGAGTTGACAAAGCTGCAAACTTTGCAGACCAGGGACACCAAGCACTACAAACTGGTGCAGCCTACGTACAGTATATACGATAAAAACAGATGATTCACTTCCACTGTAACCTGAAGATTGCAACATTTCTATAATTCTATTGGTTTTTGATTTGTGAAGACATTTCACTGGTAAGATTTGTTTCATTGCGCTGAAAGTCTGCCTAAAAACATATATCTAGAAATGCCACTGTCTTTCCCCCCCAAAGAAAGAAACAAGGTTGGAAGTCTTTCATGACCATGTTTTGCTCCTTTTAAGCCACAGGAGTGTTTTTCTCTCAGTGGGACATGACTTCTCATTAGGCAGTGTGTCCCTGTACCTTCACACACAAACCACAGTCTTTGTTCTCAAACGTTCAACTAAACCTGTTTGATTTTTATTATAAATGATTTAGGAACAAGTAAAAATGTGCAAATCATAAACCTTTACTGTCATTAACCACATAAAAATACATTTAATTTTATTTATTGTGGCGCGTTAAAGGTGCACTTTATATATCCCTGTAGGGCAATTCATTCTCTGCATATGACCCATCCTGATGCCACTAGGGCTTACATCAGGAGCAGGCTTGGTCAGGATTACCAGAGCTGGAGGATTTTACCTAGTGGGCATGTTTTTAGCGGGAGGGGAAACCGGAGCACCCGGAGCAAACCAGAGCAGACACAGAGAGAACATGCAAAACACTAAGAAAGACTCGGTCCCAACCGGCATTCAAACCCAGGACCTTCTTGCTGAGAAGCGAGAGTGCTATCCACTAAGCCACAGCATAGGTTGAAGAATTGGGATTTTTTATTAAGCCTAGCGTACATTGACAGAGTAACTGGAGACAACTGGTTGCAAGGCGGCTTTTGGCAACTGAGAGTAGATGATGGGAGATGATCAGTTGCCGAAATCGGTAACTGACCAGGGACCTGGTGTATGCACAACCAATATGACTCCCCCTTGACCTGCACAGATCAGACACATTTACATCTTACACAACCACAAGAGGGCAGCCAAGAGACTGACTGTGGTTTTTTAAATTGGGCCAAAATTGGCAGCAGAACAGCAGGGAAGAAAAGTGTTAAAAGTGTTCAGCTCAGAGGCACAGCAGTTGCTTCTCACTGTGAATACCACTGAGGCCTTTCTATGGTTTTGATGTCGACAGCTTTTGGAAAAACAACACTCAAATCTCAGTAGTGTGAGCGAGAACAGCTGGTCCCGCGTGGCCCTGAACTGGAACTATAAGTACAGAAATGTCCCACTTATTCTGATGTCCACAAACGTGTCTGTGTGTTTTTTTCTGGTTTTCAAGTATAGAAGGCTCTGACCACACGGCTACAGTGTATCAAGAGTTCATTAACAACAGAGAGTATACAATACATTTTTCTTTTGAAAACACTTTCAGGTAGCCTACTTTTGTGCAGTACAATATTATTTAAATCCCTTTTACAATAAAGATATTCAATAGAGTTAAAGACGTATTAAACAAATAGACTTTTTTACACATTTTAGAAATGGAGACACAGTTTGGCTTAAACGTTTTCA